TAAAATTCAAGTTGAGATTTGGGTGGGGACACAGACCAACAATATCAGCCCACTTTTAATAGGGTTATTTGTTTTTGCTTCTTGATTTGCATTTAAATTTCCTATAGATTCTGGATATTAGGACTTTCTTGGATGCAACATTTGTGAATATCTTCTAACATTTTGTAGGTAGTCTCATTATTCTGCTGATAGTTTTGTTTGCTTGTTTGTTTGTCTGTTTGTTCATTTTGCTGAGCGGAAACTCCTTAGTTAATTAGGTCCCACTTGTCTATTTTTGTTTCTGTTGCAATCGCTTTTGGATACTTAGCCAAAAATTCTTTGTCAAAGCTGGGGTCGAGAAGAATATTTCCTAGGTTGTCTTCAAGGATTTTATGGTTTGAAGTCTTACATTTAAATAGTTCATCAATTTTGAGTTAATTTTACATATGTTGAAGGTAGACGTCCGGCTTCAATCTTCATCTTATGGCTAGCCAGTTGTCCCAGCACCATTTGTTGAACAGCACCATTTGTTTACTTCCTTACTGCTTGTTTTCGCCTGCCTTCTCAAAGGTCAGATGATTGTAACTGTGCGGCTTCAGAAGGTGCAACCACTCAGAATGGCTGTCACTAAAAAGTCAAAATACAATGGATGCTGGTGGGGCTGTGGAGAAAAGAGAACACTTATACTGTTGATGGGAAGAAGAATTAGCCTTGGCCACTTTGGAAAGCAGACTGGAGATGTCTCAAAGAACTTAAAACAGAGATATCATTTTACCCAGCAATTCCACTACTGGGTACACACTAAAAAGTAATTAAATAATTCTTTATTTGTGAACACATTTGTCAGAAACCCTCAAACTGTACATTGAAAATCTATGCATTTTTATGTTAATTTTATCTAAAAAAAAAAGTACATAGACAATTGTAGGCAATATTTTATAATGAAATTAAAATTTTCATAAAATATATATGAAAATTCAAATACAAAATGTAAATGTGATTTTTACAATAATTATTAACATGTATTCAGCTATACTAGAATAAAATCCCAGAAATAAGAAAGATAAAAGTGATATATTTAAATGAAAAATTAATAAACACAAATTTCACAGATAATTATAACCTGTCTAAAATCATGTGGAACCTTTTATATTATTAGTTATGCAAAATTAATAAACTAGTGATATATTTTAACCTGTTTTATCAGGAAAAATTACAAATATTTTGTGTAAAATCATAACTGGGACAGCCAACAGGAAAATAACAATATTTGCAAGCACATGTTTTAAATGTTAATATATTCTCAATGTTGGCCCAGTTATTACAGCTGTGGTCCCGAGGAGATGGCCTAATCCAAGGAGAGGAAGGCTACAGGTCGTGTGGACTCACACTGGGCACCTGCTTCTGCCCGTCCCGCAGCCACTCCCTGAAGCCTTCAGGAGACAGGGGTGCCGATGGGGCCTTGAGACGATCTAATGAGATCCAGAAGTGAAGAAAAAGATAATGATCTGGGATAGATTTTAAAATTTAAAATAGAAATTTTATTGTAAATTCACAAATTACTGTTATTTATATTCACAAGGCAAGAAGCAATATTATGATTTGTGAATATAATATGGAATAACTAAGAAAAATAAGAAATAATTAAGATAATTATCATTCATCACTTCAAATTCTGATCATTTATTGTGACATTTCTTTTTTTTTTTTTGAGACAGAGTCTCGCTCTGTCGCCCAGGCTGGAGTGCAGTGGCTGGATCTCAGCTCACTGCAAGCTCCGCCTCCCAGGTTTATGCCATTCTCCTGCCTCAGCCTCCCGAGTAGCTGGGACTACAGGCGCCCGCCACCTCGCCCGGCTAGTTTTTTGTATTTTTTAGTAGAGAGGGGGTTTCACTGTGTTAGCCAGGATGGTCTCGATCTCCTGACCTCGTGATCCGCCCGTCTCGGCCTCCCAAAGTGCTGGGATTACAGGCTTGAGCCACCGCGCCCGGCCTATTGTGACATTTCAAATGTAGTCTTAGCTCTTTTGAAATGAACAATACATAACTTTTAAATTAGCAAATATAAATCAATTCACGTAAACAAGTAAAAATAACAAATCAATTATGAATTACTCTAATAATTTATATTTTTGTCATCATTAAGTTTGTTTCTTTAGGACATATTTTCAGAATTATTTTACCTGAATGTTTAATATGAATGCCTGCACATATATGCATAGGTCTGTGTATTTATGCATCTTTCTTTTTTCTTTTTTCTTTTACTTTTTTTTTTTTTTTTTTGAGATAGAGTCTCACTCTGTCACCCAGGCTCGAGTGCAGTGGCCCAATCATGGCTCACTGCAACCTCCACCTCTAGGGTTCAAGCAATTATCCTGCCTCAGTTTCCCGAGTAGCTGGGATTACAGGTGTGAGCCACCATACCCGGCCTATACATCTTTCTGTGTGTATAAATATATGTCCCTATAGCTGTGCAGTTGCTAATGTCAACAAATGTTAATAAAAGTCTGGAAGAATCAGTGCAAATAATTAGCAATGTATATTTCTTGAAAGTATATATTTTAAAAATCTATATGGAATTTTAATAATATTTTAACACTAACGATAACAAATTCATAATAAATACAAGTAATGAAATATCACAGCCTAGAATGCTCCAGAGTTCTGCAAACACAAACCTGACTTCTCCAGCTGAGGACAAAGGAAACCTCCCCCTGCACCTGCTCCTGGGACCTGTCCCGTCCTCAGTGGGTCCCGAGCGCCCCCTGGAGGCCCCGCGCGCCCCTGCAGGGAGGTTTGTGTCTGGGCTCACACTGACCTCGCCTCACTGTGTCTCTAGCACAGTAATACACGGCCGTGTCCTCGGTTTTCAGGCTGTTCATTTGCAGACTGGCGATGCTTTTGGAATCATCTCTGGAAATGGTGAATCTGCCTTTCACAGACGCGGCGTATTCTGCTGTCCCACCATTAGCTTTGTTTCTAATGAAACCCACCCACTCCGGCCCCTTTCCTGGAGCCTGGCGGACCCAGTGCATGTAGTGGTCACTGAAGGTGAATCCAGAGGCTGCACAGGAGAGTCTCAGGGACCCCCCAGGCTGGACCAAGCCTCCCCCAGACTCCACCAGCTGCACCTCACACTGGACACCTGCGAACACAGAGACACCCTGGTCAGAAACTGCCACTCATATCCACTGTTTCTCTCACTCATGTCCCCTCACACTCAGTATCTCTAGTACACCATGAATTACCTTTTAAAATAGCAACAAGGAAAACCCAGCTCAGCCCGAACTCCATGGCTGGTGGTCTGTGTTCAGTGCTGGTCACCAAGTGGAAACTCCTGGGAATCCTAGGCTGGGGCTCCTCTCCCAGAGCTGCAGAGTCAGGGCTGGGCTGGTTTTCATCAGCAGAGGGAGGACGATATTTGCATGTCTCCTACTATATAGCAAGCACTGGGGTGGGACGCCTGAGGAGAAGGCAGTACCCGGATAATATGACTGTGCCTTGCAGGAATTTGGTGAATATGATGGTATTTGGAAAATATGTTGTCTTATAAAGTTATGCTGTGATAAACACTTTGAACTGATCACGCTATTTTATTTGTACATACTTGTGTAAATTATGTTTTGTCACAGCCAATGGTTTCTCCACTTACAGATGTGGAAGTAAACCACACATGGAAAAGGTGCTCTGTATGTGTCTAAGGGCTCATGTCTGGGATGAGTAAGCCCCGGTACCTGTGCCTGTGCCCCACTTATCCCTGAACCAACTCCAGGACAGAGCTGGGGGTGCCTAGCGTGGTTGTGGAACCCACTTTCTGTAGGGAGAACATGTGTGATTGTGCTGCATTCTAACATTCACCTAAAAATACGGTGAGAACTAGGGTTAGGCAAATATATTTCTAAGTATTTTTGAAATTTAACATACATTTTTTCTATCTTTATATCACTCCTTTCTTGTCTAAGTTTCCAGTTGTTTGCTTGTGATACATTTTATAAGTTTAGTTTACATGCAATAAACTTTCACATATTTAAAGTGTACAATTGATAAATATGAGGTAACCGTCATCATTATCAAAGTGGACAAGAGAATTCTCAGCATTTCCTTTTCCTCTTCTATAGTCTTCCTCCTTTTCCCTTTCTTCCTTCTACCATTTCCCTGGCAACTGCTGATCTTTACATTGCTGCCAAGTCATTTTAATTTATCAGAATGTATAAAAATGAAATAACATGGTATATATTCTTATTTGTTTGGCCTACCTTAAGTGATTAGGTATTTCATCTTGTAGTTGGGTATAGCAAACTTTTAAAATTGTAAATATTGGGTAGTATTCTAGCAGACAAATTTATCATAATTTGTTTTTCTATTAAGCAGCTGAACAATATTTGATTTTTTTATTATTCTAGGTCTTACTAAAGATCTGCTATAGAGCTTGGAAACGTACATAGAAAAGGAATGTATTTTTTCTGATTTTTACAACTGCATCAACAATAACGGACAAATACAGAAGATGGAATTTTGCGAATTTTCTTTAATACTTTTGATATTTAAAGTTTCAAAACAAACAACAAATCTGGAGTTTTGGGAGAAGCAAGTTCTTGTAGAGAGTAACAAAGTCAGGGTTTGAAATTAGCTAAGGCAGAGTCTGGAATATGAAATAGAAGCTATTACAAGATAAAATACAAATATCTATTGGATTGTTTGAAACTATGTGTGGTGAGCATGTTATAGTGTGAAATTTTAAGGGACCACATACTGAAGAGCTATCCTATCCTCTTAAAGCCCTTTGCCCAAGAAAGGGGAGAGTCACCAATCTTCCTTCCCTGAAGTGTCTGTCAGGGAGAGAAAAAGAACCCACACTTCTGAAATGTGTTCAGCCCAACTCCCTTATTCCTGTTACAGAACTAAGAATTTACCCTGCAGGGGCAAGTCACTGAAACCAGAATCCTAGGTGCACTTGTTCAATGCCTCAGGAATTGAGATGGTAACACCAAGATCTATTGAGAAGCAGCTCCCCTGTCTTTCTTATGGAATCAGAGCCTTAGTCTGCAGGGCAGGGCAGCAGATCTGCAAGGTGATGACACCGATGGAGAACGCTGGAGCTGTGGGAGGGAACACCTGGGGAAAACAGTAGGACTCTACCCACGGGGAAGGGCAAGAATCAGCATCTCATCTGGAGGAGGGTCAGGAACACTCGCAAGGTCACACGCAGACCCAGGGTCACGATGCCTTCCTAGGAATATGGACCCTTTAGTCTAATGTCTTTCACCAATTGAGAATTGTCAGTTAAATAAAACACTTGAATGCACCTGAGGGAGCTGAAAGAGATTCTCTGGAGGATGAAACAAGGTGAAGAGACAAAGTCAAGCAGAAAAGACAAGGAAGGTATCATTGGAGGATCTGTAGTCTCTGGTGGGAATAGAAGGACAGACTTCAATTCATTTTTGAAACCTTTATATCAGTTGTTAGTAATTTATGTGATAAAATAGTTGGTCTCATCAATGGCATCATATTATCCCCATTAGGGATGAGGGTCCATGTGGCACGTGGTGCAGTTCTAGTCATGGAGGCAGAAGAGATGCTCTGTTGAGGTGTTCCTGGTCCTTCAGAGGAGAATCGCAAAAAAAGTCTCTTCTCCACTTCCAGACAATCTATAATATGTGTGTGTGACCCTTGGGAATGTTGTCCCCATGTCACAGTATGACAGGAGTCCCCTGGGGTGTGAAGCTGACTTTCTGGATGCATCAGTGTGGAAAATTGAGAAAAGAAACTGCCCGGGAAGATGAACTGTCAAATTATTCAGTCCTGGAGCCGCTCACTTCCAGGCTTCCTGTTTCATCAGGTTGTGATTTTCCTCGTTGTTTAATCAGCCTGGGTTGTCTTTCTTCATTCTCTGCTAAAATAGGCACACATAATAATCTAGAGGCTTTGGGGTAAATAAGTAACTAATTTCAAAATTAGAACAAGTCCCAAGTGAAGTCAGTTACCGTGTGGTTAATGATGTGGTAGACAGGAGACATGGCTGTACACTAAGAGAGTGTTCACATCTATTTTATATTAGTTAGCAAAATCTTTTGTATATCCCTTAGGTAATATGCCCATTGCGACCTTTGATTTAGCATTATTTCTTGATGAGTAACACCTAAATAATAGGTGTGATGGTTATTAAACCAATAATTTGTATTACAAGTACAAACTTCCATTTGGGATCTATTCCTCTACCTGATGTAGAGGAGTCTGCCCAGAAGGCAGAAGTTATTGCACTTAGAGCTTGTTAATTAACCAAAGGACAGGATTAAATACAGATGTTGTACTGTAATGCAGAATTTTAAACTGTGCTGCAAGCAGAGGTTTTTAAATCTTCTGGAAGCCCCCATCAAAATGGACAACAGGAAAATACACTTTTAAATAAATTCCTACGTTCTAGAGACCTGATATATAAATTTGAAACCAAATGCAAACAAAGAGAAAAACAAAAATCTAGCATGGAAACTAGAATAATGTTATGGTGCATCATTTCTCCAAACACAGTCTTAACCTGGTGCATAATATTATCTAAACGTGGAGGGCATTGCCACTGTTCATCTCATACAGAATCAATCCCACTCACAATATTCTGGATATGTTGAAAAATGGCAAGTTTAAATAAAAAATATTTAAAAATTAATAAAATATGGAAACTCTCTTGGCCAAGAGTTATCCCACTAGCATATGGCATATCAGGACACATCAGTTACTGCCCTATGACTTGGGAGCTGGAAGATTCAAACATTTAGAAATTTTACCCTCATTGCTCACCTTTGTCCTATTGCATACATGTGTTACACAACATTGAAAATAATTTTTGTATTATACTTACTCCATACACCAAAAGTTTAAAGTTGACTTTTTATGTCATCTTTTCACAGTATTTTGTGATCTTCTACCATGATATTATGTCTATTGGAACAAACATCAGAAAAAGTATTGTGCTGTTGAAACATTTTGGCATAAATCATATCAGGCACTATTAACCAAAATACAGCAGAAAAAAATTCAGGGAGTCAATTATTGGGTTGATATTTTGCAACTAAAGGATCCATTCCGACCAGATGTGGTGGCTCATGCCTGTAATTCCACCACTTTGAGAAGCAAAACCAGGAATATCACATGAAACCAGGTGTTTGAGATCAGCCTGGGCAACATAGAGAGATCCCATTTCTATGAAAGAACTTTTTAAAAAATCAGCTGCGTTTGGTTGTGCACTCCTCTAGTCCTGGATGCTCAGGAGGCTGAGACCAGAGGATTGTGTGAGCCAGAACTTCAAGGTTACAGTGAGCTGATTGTGCCAGTGCACTCCAGCCTGTGTGACAGAGTGAGCCCCTGTATCTAACTATAATAATAATAACTAAGATTTGTACATGATTGTACCTGTGTGACAGAGTGAGACCCTGTATCTAACTATAATAATAATAACTAAACATTTTACATAATTGTACCTGTGTGACAGTGTGAGACCTTGTATCTAACTATAATAATAATAACTAAGCATTTTACATGATTGTACCTGTGTGACAGTGTGAGACCCTGTATCTAACTATAATAATAATAACTAAGAATTTTACATGATTGTAAGGCACCTCAAATAGAACATACCAAACTGAGTAGCCTCAGGATTCCTCTGATGCTTCTGATGTTTTGGAGCAGACAACTCACCTAAGACGTTCCGAATAAGCGGGTGATTTTGCATAGTGAAAGGTCTCCACACAAGACATTGGAACAGGACCCTTGTCTAAACCCCTGCCTGTACCTTTCACCCCTTTCTCCTCGTTTTCCTCCTCCTTTTCATTATTAGTTGCTTATTCTTATCATCAGTCTTCTCACTTTTTTGTAGACCTGGTTATTGTCCACTCATATTGGACACTGATTTTTTTATTAATGATTTTTATAATTGCTACATAGAATAAGTCATCAGACTATTCTTTTGCTACTGATAACTTAATGCTTATTCCTCCATCGTCGCCCTTCTTTCCAATATAAGATGAATCTAGTTGGGAATCACAGGAACTCCCTCATTTGATGCCATTTGGAGGTTCCAACCCCACAAACTCCTTTCTGTGAGTGAGACCCCTCACTCTGCCTCCACCACCGAACCACTATAGGATCCCTGAGCCAGTCTCCTTTCTTGTTCCATTGAGCCATTTTGGACATTCCTGAGAGACCAGCACTAATCTCGGCAGACACCTCCAGAGGTAATTAACCTTTCCATATGCACATGGGGGAGTGTGCGGCACCCACAGATGTGACGTCCACACGGCATTTTAGTCGTGATCTCCTGGTCTTTTTATGGTGTCAACTAGAACAAAAGCTGTGAGCTTGGTGTCACGGCTCCTAACCGCAGGACACACCTGTTCCCTGAACCAACTCCAGGACAGCGCTGGACATTCCTGGTGTGGTTTGATTAACTCCCGTTATGTAATGAAATCATGACATTATTTTCTTGTATTCTAGTGTTTCCGTAAAAATATAGGTAGACTTAGGGTTTATTCATGCATATATTCAGGAGTCTTTGATTTTTTGTATATATTTAATTCAATCTTTAATTCTGGGCTGAGAAATTTAAAATTTCTGGAGGTTTATGAGTGAAGTCCTTATGCCACTGTTCTGTGATTTTATTTTTTTATTTCTCATATATTTTATTCATCTCTGTCTAACTCATTTTCTACCAAATTATAAGTGTTTAAATTTGTAATATTTTAATGAGGCAAAATCAGCAAATAGTAGCCCTCCCACAATGTGCACCATTTGACAGATAGTGACATAACTGTTACCTTTCTCAACATAGAAAATACTCAACTACCCTCAAAATATCCTTTGGTTTTCCTGTAACTCCTGCTTCCTACACCTTCCCTTCTCACACCACATCCAGAGTCAATTACTGGTTTTCTTTATGTAACTTTAGTTTTCATTTCATATAATTTATAAAAATGGAATCGTATGTATGCACTTGTATTTTTTGTCCTTTTTTATTCATCATACCTACTTGTGAATTCACCCTTGCTGTTGAGCGTATCCAGCTGTACCTGATTGTGACAGTGGGTGTTTCTCCAGTGAATGAATTTACCACAATTTGTTTACTGATTCAGCTTCTGATTGATATTTGGATTGCTTTCAGTATCTGAGTATTATTTAAAAAGCTGCAATCATCTTAGAGAAGTACACAGCTGAGAAACACAACGTTCTTATTCTTACAACAATATGAACAGCAGCTAAACTGGAAAAGCTGCAGTTTAATCAATTGTCTTCAACACATCCGGTAATTGAAGTTGTACAATTCTGTGTATGTGAGTGAGTTTGTGAGTGAGAGAGAAGGAGGGAAGAAGAGAGAAAGAAGAGAAAGAGATTCTACACAATTGACCATGATTTATGAGGTGATAAAATAAATACAATGACTTAGAGTCTTCATGGAAAAGGTCCGCATAAGATGGAGAGGACGACTCGATGCACCTACATATGGTTATATATTTATATAAATGTCATTTCCTAATAATACAAGGAATCATGTACATGAGAACAAACACAGTGGCGGGTGTCCAGTGGTGAAATATGATGGCGATGCAAAAACCCCATCTCCAGCACCTTTTCTCCCCATTGCACCTGCCTTGATGTGTGTCCTGAGCGCCCCCTGGTGTCCTGAGCGTCTCCTGCTGTTCCCGAGCTTCCCTGCAGGGAGGTTTGTCTGGGCTCACAAGGTCCTCCCCTCACTGTGTCTTTTGTGTAAAAATCCATGGTTGTGTACACGTTGCTCAGGGAGCTCAGCTGTAGGAAAAACTGTTTTTTCGATATGGATCTGCAGATGGTGACTGGACTCCTGAGGAGTGGGTTGGATTGTGCACTCCCTCATGACCTGTGCACCTGATTCACTCCAGTCCCTTCCCCAGGGAGCTGATGGATCCAGCTCCAGGAGGAAGCACTGGTTGTAATGGAGAATGCAGAGATGGCACAGGTGAGGGACAGGGTCTGTGAGGGCTTCACCAGGCCAGGAGTGCACCGGGAACCATAGTTGTCAGCATGCACAGGTTCTGAACAGCATGTTGGAATTCACAGATATTCACTTTTTCGTAAGGATGGGGAGCTCCCTGTGTGGATGAGAAGGAGGAACTCCCCGTGTGGATGAGAAGGAGGAACTCACTTTTTCCAATATGGGGTCCCCTTGAGCAAATAGTAGATTCTGAGGTTAGAATTAGACAAATATTTGGTCACATTTTTTCTTCAAACTTTCAACCAAATAGGAAAGATAATCTGCTGTCAGGAGAATGGGCATTGGATTATTACCTCTATCTATGATAACGCTGATTTTCAGAATCAGATTGTCCTGTGATAGCCTAAAGCGTGTCATAATCCTGAATCCACAATTAGACCTGAGCAGCAATCACGGACAGTGGAGGTCGCCTCACATGGGGAAACATCTGACTCTGCACAGCTGCACACGGGGGTCTCTGAAGGCCCTTGGTTGTACAGGAACAGCTCCTCCCTCAGACTCAGAGTGAAGACAACGTGCTCTTTATCTGGGGAACGTGATGGTTAGTGCGTGGAAAGAAGCAAACTTACTCTAAACAATATATTTATACTTGAACAGAAAGCAAAGTTTACAAGAAACAATGAACTTGGGGTAAAATAGGAAATTACAATTGTTTGCAGGCCACCTGCTTTCCTCTCCATGTCATCTAAGAGAACCAAGGAAAATCATGTTTCTTATGTTCATTTCCATAAACGGTGTTTCCACCCTAAGAACACACCTCCGATACCACCAACATCAGGGAGCATCTGGACCAGGCACCCAGCACAGCTCTCTGACATCAACACCCAGGTTTTGACAAAGAGACACATCCTGGAGCTCCTCCCAAACAATGACTGTGCACAGTGAAGATGCTAATGCGTGGCTGCTGCTGGACACGTGGGGGATTCCTGATGGACAGCTATGCTCTGGGAAGAACCAATGGCCTTGATGGAATTAGCTTGGACCACAACGTAGTTGGGAAGCTCCATCAGACTCACACCTTCTCCAGCACTCGCGCCACTGCACTCCATCCAGTACCACAAGAGCTTAACTCCATCTTACAAAACAAACAAAAAAATAGTAGCTCTGTGAGAAGATGGATATACAAGTTACCTTGACCATGATGGGCATTTCACAATGTGTATCTGATATGGTTTGGGTCTGTGTCCTGGCCCAAATCTCACGTTGTGTTATAATCTTCAATTGAGAAGGTGGGACCTGGTGGGAGGTGACTGGGTTATAGCGTGGGCCTTTCATTAATGGTTCAGCACTGACTCCTGGTGCTGTTCTCATGACAGTGCGTGGGTTCTCAGAAGACCTGGTTGTCTAACAGTGTGTAGACCTTCCTTGCTTCCTGTGGTTCCTGCTCTGGCCATGTGATGTGCCTGCTCCCCTTCGTCTTCTGCCATGATTCTAACTTTCCTGAGTCTCCCCACAAGGAGAAGCCACTTCACTTCCTGTAAAGCTTGCAGAACCGTGAGCCAACTGAACATCTTTTTTTTTTTTTTTTTTTACCAAATTACTCAGTTTCAGGCACTTCTTTACAGCACTGTGAGAATGGACTAATACAATACCAAAACATCAAGTGGTGCACCTTAACCTGTACATTTTTAAAAAATACTTTATTTCTACCTCAATAAAACTGAAAAAAAATTAAACTTACTCAAAGAAATACATACTTCATATTTTCTCAATAAAAGTGAGACAACATAGAAAAACTTACACTAAGTTATCTTTAACAGCTTTGCTTATAATATTCATAAACTGGAAACAAATTTAAAGTCCATCAACAAACAAAATAGATCAATATATTGTCATATATTTACTTAATGGACTGTCTCAGATATAAAGTCACTCTCCTTCCTCTCTCTTTCTCTCCATATACACATGAAGACTTTGAGGTTTCATATCAATCAGCCCATTAATTGAGTAAACGACACTATGTTGATCTAATTTCATACATTAAATAGCATGAATTAATCTAAAAAATAGCAAAGTAGCGCCTTACCAAAAAAAGGTCTATAATGTTTGATTCCATTTATACAAAGCTCAAAACAGGGAAAAAAATAGATCTATAGTGTCAGAAATCGAAACCTTTCCCCATGCAGGATTTGACCACAGACACGAAAAAGACGCGCGTTGAGGGGATGGACTTGCTCTTCACGCTGCCTTAGGTGTTCAGTACAAGGGTATTCACATTTGCCAGAAACTCTCTAGTGACCCATTTCACTATGGATTACCCTAATTTATATTTAGTTCATCATCAAGTTTAATTCTTTAGGACATGTTTCAGAATTATTTTATTATAATGTTAAATAAAAATGACTACACATGTATGCAAAGGTTTGTGTATTTTTACGTATGTCTACAGATGTAAATTAATGTCGCATAAGTATGTGGTTGCTGATATCAACAGATGTTAATAAAACTCTAGAGGAATAAGTGCAAATTATTAGGAAGAATTATTTTTTGAAGTTATGTATTTTTAAAAAAATATCCCTACATATAACTGTAAAAATTACTAAAACACAAATATCAATTTAAAAAAAAAACACGTGATAAATAACCGTAATAAAATATCGCAACCTTATGAGGCTCCAGAGTTCTGAAAACACAAACCCGCCTCCGGCAGCTGAGAAAGGAAACCTCCCCCTGCACCTGCTCCTGGGACCTGCGCGTCCTCAGTGGGTCCCGAGCGCCCCCTGGAGGCCCCGCGCGCCCCTGCAGGGGGGTTTGCATCTGGGCTCACACTGACCTCCCCTCACTGTGTCTCTAGCACAGTAATACGCGGCCGTGTCCTCGGTTTTCAGGCTGCTCATTTGCAGATACAGGGTGTTCTTTGAATCATCTCTTGAGATGGTGAATCTGCCTTTCACAGACGCAGCGTATTCTGTCGTTTAACTGTTAGCTTTGTTTAAAAACAAAGTTTGAGTGGCCAACCCACTCCAGCCCCTTCCCTGAGCCTGGCGGACCCAGTTCATGTAGTGGTCACTGAAGGTGAATCCAGAGGCTGCACAGGAGAGTCTCAGGGACCCCCCCAGGCTGGACCAAGCCTCCCCCAGACTCCACCAGCTGCACCTCACACTGGACACCTGCAAACACAGAGACACCCTGGTCAGAAACTGCCACACATAGCCACTGTTTCTCACTCTCATGTCCACTCACATGTTCTAGTTATCTACAGATCACCTTTTAAAACAGCAACAAGGAAAACCCATGTCAGCCCAAATGCCATGGTAAGTTCTCTGTGTTCAGTGCTGATCACCGAATAGAAACACCTGGGAATTCTAGGTCTGGTCTCCTTTCTCAGAGTTGCAGGGTCAGGGCTGGGCTGGTTTTCATCAGCTGAGGAAGGGCCCTATTTGCATGGCTCCTGCTGTATAGCAAGCTCTGGGGTGGGACGCCTGAGGAGAGGGCAGTGTCCAGATCGGATGAGAGTGTCCTGGAAAACACGGGTGGTAATCCTATCTCTCAGGAAAATATAACTTCAGATTATGTGACTGTGCCTTGATAATCATTTAGTAATCATTATCTTATTTCATTTTTACATATTTGCAGAACATATTTCATTGAAGTGTCAGCGTTACATTTTAAATAAGATAAATTACATATGGAACAGAGCAGTTGTGCAGTGTGTCCAATATCACACATCTGGACAGAGTTAGCCCTATTATCTGTGCCTGTGCCTCTAAACACTGGAGGAGTCAGCTCCCCTGAGACAGCTCCAGGGTGGTGTGGGACATGCCTTGAGAGGTTTTCAGGATGTCCCGCCTGTCATAACAACTTTGTGTGATTTTGCTTCCCTAATTTTTGAGGTGGGGCCTGGTGGTTGTAGCATGGGGGTGGATTTATAATTAATGGTTAGCACCATCCCCTTGCTATGATAGTAAATGAGTTTGCATGAGCTTTGGTTGTTTAACAGTGTGTAGCAGCTCCACCCTCACTCTTTCTTTGCTTCTGCTCCCACCATATAAAATGGCTGCTCCCCTTTTGCCTTTCACTGTCGTTGTAAATTTCCTGAGGCCTCTCCAGAAGCTGAACAGTTTTATCATCAGACTTCCCATACCGCTGGCAGAATCGTGAGTAAATTAAACCTATTTCCTATATGAATTACTCAGTTTCAGGTATTTATTTCTAGCAATGTGAGAACACACTAAAAAAGCAGACATATCCCTCATTTCACCAGGGTTCCCCGCAGCCTGCAACCCCCCGACTAAAGAGGGGGATGGTCCGATCTCCATCACTGACACCATCGAGGTGCTGCCTCAGGCCCAGATGGTTTGTGATGGATGTCAGTTTACTGATGTTGAGTTCTGGGAGTATAATGCCCTCCTCCCCCATGCCTCACAGATGAAGAAGCCATCCTGTGATCAACTCTCTCTACTCCTGTCTGAGTGCATTTCTAAGTGTCAGCAATTCCGCAGTGGTGGAATCTCACTTTGTGGTGTGCTTCCTTATTTCAGGTGGGGAAACGTCTTTGGGGGCTAGTCTCTGCTGGTGCAGTTGGCCCATTTTTACCTTGGTGGTAGCCAGCAGATGTGTAGAGAGGACAGGGACCCCCATGGACTTACCCCAATCTTCATCCTCCTCCCCGTAGAGCTCTTCATAGGAACTGGGTCTTAGAGTCCCATGACAATTTAGTCATCATAGCCCTAACTAATTCGCGTATGGTCAGAAATCCTTCAAATGTGCTGCTCAACAAGCCGCGATCCCCAAATCTCCATTCAGCTTCCACAGGCAGGACAGAAAGGTCTCTGATTAGTCTGAGCTTGTCTGGCATGTTTTTCTAGGAGTCGCTCTTCTTATGACTGACACACTGTAGCCTACATGGTGAGCTCTGTCTCAGTGGCTGCTCAGAGTGGAGTCAGGAGGAACCAACCACCTGAAAACGCAACATCTTGGGCATCAGACTTTCACTTTGTAAGATGCACGTACTGAAGCGGTTCTTCCAGGACTTTTGGCATTTTGGCAGGATCGCCATACTCACGCACTGGGCCCCTTCCATCATGGATAGTAGCTGTTGGGCCCCACATAGAAATTTGCAGCCTGCACAGGGTTTCTGCAGGGGTCTCCTCTTTTTAGCCATTGTCTGGGTGCTCAGGAGATTTTTTTTGAACCTTTTTCCAGGTTCACTGGGTGTCAGGCCAGACCAATATTGACTCCAGTAGCACTGGCATCATGTACAACAGGCTAAGGAAATAAACCCAGATCAGTAAACAGGACATAGAATTTATTGAGGGCTTTCATATAGGGTGGTTCAGGAACAGCAGGCTGGACAAGAAAACTACAACCATTTGACAAAAGTATGCAGCTTACGTAGTAGTTTTTGCTTAACACCCTCCACCTAGCAACTTCCATTTAATCCAAAAGGAAGAGTCTCAATCACCCCTAAATCCTGTGTTCCAAGGGATAGGCCAGGGGTTTGGATGTTATTCATAGACAAAAAATGAGTCTCTGGATACTCCACTCCTGGATTCCTTAGCTTGGAACTTGAAACATACATTTCTTTTTTCTTTTCCAATTATTCTGGTTAGGATTTTTAGTAATATGTCGAATAGGAGTGGTGAAAGTGTGCATTCTTGTTCACGTTCTTCAGGAATATTCTTGCAACCTTTTCTCATTCTGTATGATGCTGTTTTGTTCTATGAGGCTTTTTTACAGTTAAAGTCATTCATTTCTTCACTACCAAGTCTAGCACATTGAACAAATCAATTGCATAGGTTTTTACAAGATTTAACACGATCCCAGTTCCATTGATTTCCTTAAGAGTTTTTGTTGGCTGTTGCATGTGGCTTTTATTATTTTGAGGTAGATTTCTTTGATGCTAAGTCTGTTAAGGGATTTTTCATGAAGGGATATTGAATTTTATTGAATGACTTTTTTGCATTGATTGAGATGGTGATGGGCTTATGCTTTTCTTTATTTCTAATTATGCTATATGTCGAATCATATTTATCGATGTGTTTATTTTAGACAATCTTGGCATCCACAGAATAAAACCCAATTGGTCATGATGTATTATCTTTTTATTGTGCTGTTGGTTTCAGTTAGATGGTATTTTGTTTACTATTTTGTATCTACGTTCATTAGGGACATCTCCCTATAACTTTTTGTTGTTGTAGTTGTATCCTTGCGTGATTTTGGTATCAAGCGACGCGAGTTTTTGTAGGTCAGGCTGGGGAAGAATCTCTTCTCTTTAATCTTTTGGAAAAGTTCCAGTAAGAATGGCACATCTAGTAAAATTAGACTGTGAATTTATCTGGTTCAAAAGTGTTGGGAGATTTTCAATTTCTAATTCAGTCTTATTACTCGTATTGGTCTACTTAGGATTTCTATCCCTTCCTGGTTATATTTGGAGGGGGTGGTTGAATACTTCCAGAAATTTATTGATTTCCTCTAGATTTTCTAGTTTATGAGCATAGAGATATTCAGTATGATAATCTTTTGTATTTCTGTGGAGTCAGTTGTAATACCACCTTTATCATTTCTGCTTGTGCTTATCTGAATATTCTTTTTTCTTTGGTTGACCTAGTTAGTGCTCTATCAATTGTGTTTATCTTTTAAAATAACCACATTTTGTTTTGTTAATTCCTTATATTTTGCTTTTTTGTTTCCATCTTTTTAAATTCTGCTATGATCTTTATTTATTTTCTTCTTCTAGCTCTGGGGTTGGTTTGTTCTAATTTATCTAGTTCCTTGGAGTAAATCAATAGATCGCTAGTTTGTAATATTTCCATTTTTTAGTAGACATTTAGAACTACAAGCTTCTCTCTTAGTACTGCTTTTGCTATATCCCAGAGGGTTTGGTATACTGTGTCTTCATTTTTCTCTGTATTTTTAAAAATTAATATCTTAATTTTATTGGTGAGCCAATGATTGGTCAAAATTGTGTTGTTTGATTGCCTCATTTTTTATACTTTTAACAGTTTTTTTCCAATTGATTGTTTAGATTTTTCCCATTGCTGTGCAATAAAGAACTAACGTCTAGAATCTAAGAAGAACACAAACAACTCAGAAACAACAAGAAATTATAAATTACACCGTTAAAAAGTGGGCAAAAGACATCAACAGATATTTTGTGAAGAAGATATTCAAATGGCCAAAAAGCATATGAAAATAAAAAGCTGAACAACACTAATCATCAGATAAATAAATATTAAAACAACAGTGAGACACAAGTTTACACCAGTCGGAATGCCTATTATTATAAAGTCAAAAAGTTATAGATGTTGGCGAGAATTCAAAGGAAAAACAATTATACAGTGTTATTGATAATGTAAATTAGTGCAACCTATGTGGAAAAAATTGTAAAGCCTTCTCAAACACCTAAAAATAGATCTATCATTCAAACAGCAATCCCACTCCATGATATGTACCCCAGAAAATAAATCATTGTGTCAAAAACTGCCTGCACCCATATGTTTATTGCAGCACTATTTACAATAACAAAGATACAGAGTTAACTTAATGTCTCGCAATGGATAATTGGATAAAGAGGATGTGGTGTATATACACAATGAAAAATAATTTAGTCAGAAAAAAGCATGAAATTATGTCTTTGACAGCAATATGGATGGAACTGGAGGTCACGTCTAACAACTCATAAATAGAAAACCAAATATGGCTTTTTCTCACTTATCAGTAGGAGCTAAATAATGGGTACATATAGACACAGAGAGTAGAATAATAGACATGGGAGACTCAGAAGGTTTGGAGAATGAGATCACTAATCACTTAATGGTTCCAAGGTACTATAACTGGTGAGCTTACTTTAAAAACTCAGACTTCATCACTATGCAATATATTTATGTAACATATATGTACTTGTACCCCACATAACTATTAAAAAATTAAAAAAGGTTAAAAACCCACAAAAAATTGGGATATGTCAAAAAGATGAAGGAGACAACTGGAAAAAGTTCCCAATTTCCAAAGAACTGAAAAAACTGAATATTAAAATAAATAATATAGAAATAGATTTTGACCAAAGAGTTAAATAAATATGTATAAAAACATACTGTTATTAATAAATGAATAAATAAAATATTTGAGAGAAGAAGGATGTTTATCTAAAACAGTATAATTACACAAAATTTTGTTGATATTTCTGCACTCAAAGTGTTGGAGTTTAACCTCAATCTGTGGATTATCGCATCAGCTTTGGCACATGAGAACAATTCTTGCTCACTTTAAACTTCAGAAATTTTAGATATAATACCAAAAATAAGATAGAAA